ATGAGATCAAGGCCAGTAAGCCAGAGACCTCGGCCAGCGAAGACCAAAGACCTCAGTTAGCATAAGATCAAGGCCACTAAGCAAGAGACCCCAGTTAACATAAGATTGAGGCCATTAAGGTAGAGACCTTGGCCAACAAAGACCAAAGACCTCAGTTAGCATAATATTGAGACCACTAAGGCAGAGACCTCAACCAACGAAAGCTAAAGACCTCAGTCAGCATAAGATTGAGGCCACTAAGATAGAGACCTCGACCAACAAAGACTAAAGGCCTCATTCAGCACAAGATCGAGGTCACTAAGGTAGAGACCTCGGCCAACGAAAGCTAAAGATCTTGGTGAACACAAGATCGAGGCCAGTAAACCAGAGACCTCGCCAATAAAGACCAAAGACCTTGGTTAGCATAAGATTGAGGCCACTAAGGTAGAGACCTCGGCCAATGAAAGCCAAAGACCTCGGTCAACATAAGATTGAGGCCAGTAAGCCAGAGACCTCGCCAATAAACACCAAAGACCTTGGTTAGCATAAGATCAAGGCCACTAAGGCAGAGACCTCAGCTAGCGAAGACCAAAAACCTCGATCGGCATGAGATCGGGGCTAGTGAACTAGAGACCTCAGCCATCGAAGACCAAAGACCTCGGTCAGCACAAGATCAAGCCCACTAAGCTAGAGACCTCGGCTAGTGAAGACCAAAGACCTCGGTCAACATGAGATTGAGGCCAGTAAGCTAGAGACCTCAGCCAATAAAGACCAAAGACCTCGGTCAGCAAAAGACCTTGGCCAACAAAGACCAAAGACCTCTGTCAGCATAAGACTTCAGTCGTTAGCTAGGGTCTCCTCAACCCTCTCCTCGGGAAGATGAAATGACACATCTGCTGACGTCTTAGAAACGGTACCGCCGTCAAGCCGACCAATTCACCCAAAAACTGGTTCAACCCTGAGCCGTTCAACCTAGAAGGTGCGCTCAACCAAACTTCAAATTTAGAGTTCCTTAGTCAAGAACCGAAGAGCTCTTCCACTTCACACCACGGTTGAGCACTACACTCCTCGACTTCGGAACTTGGGGAGTGGTGTTTAGGTTATGGTTGAGCTATCCCCAGGTGCCATGTGTCACCTCTGCAACCATTTTATCTTTTCGGCCACGTCGGCACCACGTAAGTTGGATAAGCATGACCAAGAAAGGAGAATCACGTACGGATAAGGAGGACATCTCTGGTGGGGGTTAGGACTCATCCCAAAGACCTTAGCGGATAACCTCATCCCAACAACCCTAGAAGCCTCATCCAAATAGGACACGGATCCACAGCTATAAAAGGTAACTCCCCCTAAGGGATCTAACTTTTGACTTCCAACATCCATACTATTACTCTACTCGAGCAGCATTAGAAAGCACTTTTGCAAAAGAATTTTTATGGAAGTACCTTTTATAAAAGCACTTTTATGGAAATACTTTTATGAAAGCACTTTTGTGGAAGTACTTTTATAAAGGCACTTTTATGGAAGTACTTTTATAAAAGTAGTTTTACAAAAGAACTTTTACAAAAGTACTTTTAAAAGTAGTTTTACAAAAGTACTTTTATTAAAGTGTTTTTATGAAAGCACTTTTGTTAACTTTTGTGAAAGTACTTTAACAAAAGTGCCTTTTCAATGTCAAAAGGGTATATTTTTTGTAATTTCCAGATTTTCTTCATTTTAATATATTTTTGTAAATTTTTACATATTCTGTTTTTTTATATAATTTTTGATATTTCATTTGGTTTTGTATTTGATTTATACTAGATTGGGTCCAGTCCATTTGTAAGTAGACTCACATTGGACTGGATCGAGTTGGACCAAATCCAGTCTGATTGACACCTCTACTAGTAATGTATCCTGATACCCAAATTGGTAATGGATTTCCAACTAAACAACATGTGTAAGATGTTTATACATTATCTGAATTTTAATGTGTAAGAAATGGTATTAGAGTGAGCATGTTTATTCTTTAGGATCTATTGCTAGTCCTTACTACATTTAGCTTCAATGATTATCTGTAACAGTTTAGTGAGGTGAAATTTATTTTCAAATTACAACAAAAACTAGCGGAGGGGCCCTTCTTCGTAGGGGCTGCAATGGAACCATCGACCCGTTGACCCGGTCCTTGGCCAAAAACTGTTGAATCGGTCAATGACCCATTGACCTGAGCAGTCGAAGCATTGACCCGCTCAATGGTTTTAGGTCATTTTTTTTATTTTTTTTAATCGAGAACCATCTAGGCAACCGGTTTCATTTTATCTTAATCTCAGTCCCTAGCCAAAAATCATTGAACAGGTCAACGACCCATTGACCCGGGCGGTTGAACCGTTGACCCATTCAATGGTTTTCGGTTATTTTTTATTTTTTAATTTTTATTATCAAAACAGGCCATTTGTTCAAATTGAACAGTTGAACTGTTGACCCGAAAACCAGTGGCCAAAATAGTTCCTAATGGTGTGCGATATGGCTACTCCTAGCTGGAAGGCGATCCGAACTCCAATTGGGCAGCGAGCTAGACTGTTCTACAAAACAGTGGATTAGAGAACCCAGGGTAGCTAACCTAGCAAGGTTGCTCCGATGCTTAAGTCAATACTTTATGTTGTAAATGCGAGCTGAATGCTTGAGAACTTGAGTTCTAGTGAGTAGAATAATAATGCGTACCTTTGCCTTGAGGTTTCATGTCTTTATATACTGGAGTAGTCGTGGGCCTTATGAAAGAGCTCCGGGATCTCCGGGCTATGGAGATAAGGTTTGTTCCGTTTTTGAAGGGGATTAATATGTTGATAAGGTTTATCGTTTACCTCCGATTCAGGTGGAGCCGGGACGAGTTCTCATCGTGATCTCGGGAAATTTGGGATCTGTTGGCTCATCGTGATCTCGAGAGATTCAGGATATGTTGGGGAGGCCTTTGGAGTCGGTTATGTAGCGTTTTGGCTCATTAGCTCCGAGTTGGAACTTCAATTCTTTAGTCTCGAATTGGATTGGGTGTTGAGGTGCCTCTACACCGAGGTGGATTTTGGGTCGAGGTGGCTGATTGCCCGAGCTTCGAATGTTGCGAACTGGGTTCACTTGGCTGAGTTGTCACCCCTCGATCAGATCGCGCCCACGTGTCTCCTTCTTGCTAGGTCGTGCCAAATCACCTTTCATCAGTTTTGTTTTCAGGTTGTATGAATCACACACTCAAATGACATAACATGTATGGTACTGCTTAATGGACCTCACACACTCATTTTTTTGCTTGTAATTTTTGTTTTCAAAATGGGTCGTCCATTTGAACCGGACGATCAAACCGTCGACTTGAAAACCAGTGGCCAAAATGGTTTCATAAATTTTTTCTTATAATTTTTTGTTGTCAGAACAGGCCACCCATTTGAACCGAATGGTGAAACCGTCAATCCAAAAATTAGTGGCCAAAACGGTTCCGTTTTCGGGTCATATGAGTCACACGCTTGAATGACATAACGCGTATGATACTACTTAATGGACCTCACAAACTCAATTTTTTGCCTATAATTTTTGTTGTCAGAACAGACTGTCCGTTCAAACTGGATGGTTAAACCGTCGGCCCAAAAACTGATGGCTATAATGGTTTCATAATTTTTTGCTTGTAATTTTTGTTGTCAGAACGGGCCATCTGTTCGAACCAGACAGTCGAACCGTCGGTTGTTAGAACATTATTAACAACATTTATCAATAATAGTAAGTAATTATACTATTTAATTMAATAATMATTAATGATAGTTTTAATAATATTATTTAGTTATTTTTAATATAACAGTAATTATTAAATTTATGAATATGATTTGTTAACAATATTCATTAAATTAATAATTACCAAAATTAAATTAAATTAACAGTATTTATCAGTAATAGTTAGTAATTATAATATTTTATTAAATAATCAATAACAATACTTTTAACAACATTTTTAGTTATTTTTAATATAACAATAATTACTAAATTTATTAACAACATTTATTAATAACTGTATATATAATTTTAATTTAAAGTAAAAGTAAAGTAAATATCTTTTTATTAACAATATTTATAATAACAATAATTATTAATTATAATTACTAATTATCTATTTATTAAATTACTATAATAATTAGTAATTATTAAAAACGGGTTACTAAATTTATTAAAAGTATTTTTTAATAACAATATTTATAATTTTAATTTAAAGTAAAATTGAAGTAAATATCTAGTTATAAACAATATGTAACGGTAATTATTAATTATAATCACTAATTATATATTTATTAAATTAATATAATAATTGGTAATTATTATTACAGTAATTAAGATTGTTATTATCTATAAGAAATGGGTGCTCACACATGGGATCTAATCGCACGAGTAGATTCTGTTTCCTAGATGCAGAGAGCACCCATTTCCTTTTAGTATATATATAAAAGACCTATTAACAGAATATATTATCTTTTAGTCAATAGGGGGTAAGAAATATCTAACAACTCTTAATATAAACTGGTTGCTCTTCGATATTAGAATTTTCTCGAATTGCTACAAGTAGATGAAACTGTTATTGGGCATTCTTCAGAAGCCAACATTTTAAAATTGGGGTGGATTGGAGTCTTGTTGGATTTGCATTGGAATGGGACCTCTTCCATGGTCAGTGACTTGTCGAATAGTCGAATCATTAATTCATTTAATGGTTTTAAGTCGTTTTTTATTTTAATTATTGTTTTTTTAATTTTTTAAATTAAAATAAACCATTCATTTAAACCAAATAATTGCCAAAATGATTGCAATTCAGGATGGATTTTTAAAACCTTGATTTTTTTTCATTCTCACTAGAGCCAGCGCGACCCCATTTCCCCATTTTTCTATCCCAGTCGGCAGTTTGCAGCAACCAAAACGGACTGTAATGGATGGCAAACATGGACATGCTAAATACGGGTTTGGATCGGGTGGAGACAATAACCACTAGGGTAAAGGTAAAATTGAAAATGTGGATCGTGTATATAAACACGTAGGTGGGAGACATTGGAGAGAGAGAGAGAGAGAGAGAGAGAGAGAGAGAGAGAGAGGGATCTCTCCGCCGCTCAGCAAAAATGGGTAGAAACCCTAATTCCTGCATAATTTTCGATCTTTCTATCTATCGCTTCATGCCTAATCTCTTCATTTTTCAGTCTCTGTGATCTCACTAATCTTCCAATGGCTTGTTTTTGTGGTTTCAAGGTATCTCGAGAGACTCCATGCACAAGAGGCGCGCCACTGGGGGGAAGAAGAAGGCCTGGAGGAAGAAGAGAAAGTAAGTATTCTCCATTGATGGTCTGTAGTTTGTTTAACGTTTCATGATGTTGTTTGAGTCAATCGAGCGCTGGATTTGATCCGAGAACTCGATTAGTTTGACTAGCTGTTTGCTTTGATTCGATTTCCGCTTTGATAAGCCACCTCTGTTGCTTTTGATTCTGGTTCTTTGATGATATAGTTCTTTGGTGTTTATTGGTTAACTTTCTCTTATGCAGTCAACTTTATTACTGAATTATCCAATTCATTTGGTTTTATAAACAATAAATTTATGACACTGGAACTGGTTATATTCATAAGTTCATAAGTTCATAGCCATTTGCTTGTCCATCATTGCTGATCCCTAGCTCCTTGTAACATATATAGTCCATGGACTAATCATTGTGCATGTTAGTTTCAGAAATTAGGGCATGGAAAATCATCGGTATTCATAACCTCCTGATGTAGGTAGTTCGGCTGGTTACGGATGTTATCTTGGTGTCAATTTTGTGCTACACTTCAAAAGAACGGCCTTCCATTTGGAGATATACCAAAACCACACTACTCTAGATAAGATTTTATTTATTTGGCATTAAGGTTTGATAGAAGTGAAAGCCTGCCATTTTGGGCTAGAAAAATAGTTGTCAAGGTGTCTAGGCGATTCTAGGCAAAGTGGAGTGGCTAGTAGTCGCCTATGTGACTAATTTCTTGGTTGCTTCCTTATTTTAGATTATAATCAACATGCATATAAATTATAAAAAAGTAGCAATTCTCATTTCAATTAACATTGGTTTTCCTCTCAAATATAGAAAATCTCATATCTGAAGATAATAAGCTTTTTAAGTCAGTGCTGTAAGGTTCAGACCAAATTGGATGGTTGAACCAGACAACCAGTGACCTTTCCTGGTCCCCTATAAATGATGGTTTGAATGGGCTGACCATCCAGTTAACTGGTAAAAACCATGACCCTGTGAGCATTCTGGTTTCTGGTTTCAATCAATTGATTTTAATATTTCAAACAGAACAGTTTGACAATAAATATTTAACAGATTGTTGAATGTAAAAAAAAACTAGTAACAACTAGAGAAATCTATAATTTTATTTTATACTAATAAAAGGTTTTTAAGAGAGTGAGAGACAGTAATGAAAAGGGAAAAACAAGGGGAATAGCACCTTTTCTATTTAGTGTATAAGAAAGATAAAGATAAGCTGTAAAAAAGGAGGTAATTCATAATCCTTCTCTTATTTCTTTCCTTTTATTTTCTTAAAACCTTGTATCTTTTATGCTTTGATGGTAAATTCCTTAAACAAAGCATAAATAATATATTACTATATGATAAGATGTATTAAAGCATAGTAATAATATGTAGCTATTATTAATAATACATTAAAGGCCTGGTCTTGTGACCTAGGTGTGTTCCTTCTCGCCTAGGTGATGACTTGACAACTATTGCAGTAAAGTGGAAGATTGAAAAGACAGAATATTTTGATTGTTACTGGAATTGCTTTTACTGGTTTGGTTTCTATTTCCATAAACTGGCATAATTTGCATTTTAGTTCACCTGAGAAAGATGCAATTTTGTTGAAACAAAAATGAATATCCTGAAGATTGGAAAATCACTTCAACTGTGTTCAATAAAACATGTAAAAAGACAAAATTTCAAGAAAAGAGAATGCCAAAGTTTTGCAAAATAAGATGGAAAAAACTGAAATGTAGCTAAAAGTGAAGACTCGTATAAATATTGTGTTTGTTTGTTTGGATTGACTAATCCAAAATTGAAAATTTGACAGTATTGAAGTCCACTTGGCATTAATTTACAGTTACACTATTCCTTTGTAGCATTTTATATTCTTATGTAATTCTCTTTTGTTTTTGTAAGGTATGAGCTTGGTCGTCAACCTGCAAACACCAAACTCTCCAGCAACAAGACAGTGAGGAGAGTCCGTGTCAGGGGAGGGAATGTGAAATGGAGGGCACTGAGGTTGGACACAGGGAATTACTCATGGGGTAGTGAGCATGTTACTCGTAAGACACGTATTCTTGATGTGGTTTACAATGCCTCAAATAACGAGCTTGTCAGGACACAGACTCTGGTAAGGAGTGCAATTGTTCAGGTTGATGCAGCTCCATTCAAGCAATGGTACCTTCAGCACTATGGTGTTGATATTGGTAGGAAGAAGAAGGGTGCTGCTAAAAAGGATACTGCAGAGGTACTCGGAATTTAACTAGAATGTTGGTTGTTTTATTGCATTTCCTTGTTTCTTATCTAGCTACATGATGTCCTTTCATGCTAGACTGTGGGCCTCTTGCAAGAGTGAAATTCAAAATACATGCTTTTTAACTTACCATTGGCATGGTTTACTCTGATATTCTTTACTTTTTCTGTGGTTTGGAAGTTATATTTTTCTCCACATCTGAATTTGGATGTGATGTGTATATCTTGACATTGATGATTGCTGATTCATTCACTTCTAACATCTGAGGTTTGTTGCTTGTGTGAACACGTAAAACAATGATATTAGACATTTGCATTGTTGAAATCTCTAGAACTGAGGCATATATCTTCTTCAAACAATGAACATGTGAACTGTGATGTTTTGACGGAACTGATATTTAGATGATATGATACTTTTGTTCTGTAGTTCTTTAATGTTCATTGTCAAGGACTTGGTTTTGTTTTAGCTGTAGGACCAAGGGAACCAAGTGAAACTGATGTCTTGGTGTTGGAAAAATAAATATCTGCAGAATTATGCATTATTCATTTATTTGGCTTAGCGTCAACAAGTCAATAACTATTATTATTCAGGAGCTGTGAACATTAATGATTCTGCAATAGCATGTATTCTTTATCTTGATATAACATGCCCATGGAAGTATCTACTTGTAGGACTGTCAATGGACTGGATATTGGTCTGATATGCGTTAATTACCTATGGACCAGGTCTAATCCAACCTGATGAACACTTTGGACCATTTTATACTGGTCCAATTCATTGTCTGGACTGTCCAATCTAATCAAATTGGGTTTAATTTAGATTTGGTTCCAACCCAAACCTGGTCTATTGACAACTGTATTCTTATCATCTAGCAATGTATTGGATATTGGTTCAATCCGATCCAATACATTATAAATCCATTACCGATGGACCAGGCCCAATCCGATTCAATAAATACTTTGGACCATTAATTCTAGATTGGTCCAATTCAATATGTCTTATTTGGTCCATCAAATCAATTTGGATGGGGTCCGACCCAAAACTGGTCCATTGACTACCTTAGCTACTTGTCACTTGAGAATTGGGCATTGGACTAATGGTTATTGCCAGATGAGTAGATAATCAGTATTTTGTTGGTTTAGTCATATAAAAAACCATACTAAATCTGTTGTAACCTTTAGTTATTTCAATTTCTAAGTAAAGGTTCTATCTACACTATGCAAAACAGCAAGCTAGAAGAAATATTCAATAGACCTCTTCTATTCCACTCTCCAGCAACTGAAAGTTGTTATATAATGTAAAATTTAGCAAACTTTGTCCATCTAGGTGTTATTTTCTATACATCAATACTCAATATCCTTTACAGTGGTTGAGAATGGTTAAAGTTCATGTGAATGCAGGTGTTTTATTTAAAATAAGAAATTGGCTGTCTATGGTATCTCTTATATTTCTTGCCTGTTGCATTTGTACGTGTGGTAGTTTGTATATACCTAACAGAGGAGGTCTTTTAAATAAGCATATTTTGATGAACTTCTAGGAGAATGCATTGTCAGTTTTATCTATGGCTATGATAGATTTTCTGGTAGTCAACTTACAGAAGGATCTGGATGACTGTATTGCTGGAGATGTTTACATATAGGTGCCTCAGTAGCTGAATATAGGTCAATAATCTGAATGATTCCTTAGACTGGGACTTCGGCTTTTTGGAGGAGGTCTTTCTCCCTCAGGTCTAATAAGGGATAGAGAATGTGATTTAGTGATAAATTTGTTACAACCTTTGGGGTTAGTCTTCTTGGATGTAAGGGGGTAAGATAGCAGAGTTTGGACACCTTTCCTTTCCAGATATTTCTCTTGTGCTTCTTTTTTTTTTGATACTCTAGTTTCCTTAGACTTAGGGAGGGGAGGTAACTTTCATGCAAAAGAAATATGGAGTAAGCCTATTCCCCCAAAAGTCCAAGCCTTTTGCTGGGAAGTTTACTTGGGAAAGATAAATACCTGTGATGTTCTCCAAAGAAGGCCAAATAAATGTCTATCCTCCCCCCCTCACATGTGCATTTTATGCAAGGCGAATGGTGAAACTACTTCCCACTTACTACTATCCTGTTCTTTTGCATTTTCTGTTTGGTTGTGCATCTCTTCTCTATTTGGTTGCAGGTGGGATCCACAGTGACTGTGCAACTCTTTAATCTAGCTTTTTTCAAGCAAGAAAAAAAAGAGAGGAAGATTAGTATGGAAGACAGCAAGGGCAGCTGCAATTTGGACTCAATGGGAAGAAAGAAATGAAACTGTTCAAAGGACAAGGCAAGGAACCTGGAGGATATTGTTGAAAGCATAAAGACCAAAACAGCAATATGGGTAAAATCTTTGGAAGTTTTCAAATTGGTGGCAGTGGACAATATTATCAGAGCCTGGTTTGAAGTGGCCAACTCAGCAGTTGTGAAAGAAAGAGTAGTTTTGGACTGGAAACCTCAATCAAAAAGAGTAAAACTTAATTTTGATGGAAGCTCCTTAGGAAATCCTGGCTTGTCAGGAATAGGAGTATTCATGGATGAAGCAGGGAAAGTCGTAACACTATTTTCAGGATGATAGGAGTAGGGGATTTGGCAAGAGCAGAAATATCAGCCTTGCTTCAAGGCCTGAAACTAGCAAAATAAAGGGGTTTTAAGAACTTAGAAGTAGAAGGTGAATCAAAATTAGTAATTTCATGGATGGATGATAAACACTCCAGGAGTGTGGAAGTTCAGACATCTAATAAGAGAAATAAAGAGCTTGGCTAAGGATCTAGAGGCAAGCTTCAAATGGGTTAAGAGAACAGCAAATGGGATGGCTGATACCTTGGCAAAGAAAAGGGCACATAGGGATCAACTATTTTGGGCAGATTTGGGATAATCTTTCTAAATTGGAAAAAGCTGTAGTTCTCTTTTATCTAATCTATTATGAATCTGTAATCTCTTTTCTCATATTGAAATGAAATACCTTTGATTACTGATAAAAAACAAAAAAATCTGATGATTCCCACTCCTGTAGAAGGTTGCATTCAACAACCAAAGTGGCTAGTAAACTTGTTTAAGAAACCTTTTATTCTGTGTTTGCATGTGTTTTCATAAGATGGTGGAAACTTGGTTACTGACATTCTTAGCAGAAAAATCTAATTCAGAGTGTGAAAATGATCTGATGGCAGATGGCACTGAGTTATTGAATGCGAGGCTAACTGTTGCACTGTTACCAATATGCAAGAATTCAACAAGAAACTTGGTTACTGACATTCTTATCAGAGAAATCTAATTCAGAGTGTGAAAATGATCTGATGGCACCGAGTTCTTGAATGAGGCTAACTGTTACACTGTTACCAATATGTGAGAATTCAACAAGAAAACAATCATAACATAGAAGAGGCCTTTTTATTTAGGGAAAGATTGAATTGTTCTCCCCTTCTAGAAGGAAATTGGCATTGAACATACATGCACGTACATACACAATCCATGTTTTAGATTAGTGGCTTGACTGAGAAGAAAAAGATGAAGTGTCCTATTTTATTCTTACTAGTATTATCATGTTACAAGTATTGACCCAAAGAACAAAGGTCTGTTTTAGTTTTTACCTGTGTATTGTTGATCCATTATTATTATTGTCATAAATTAAAGACCTTTGATCTTGATTTTCTATTTGCTAGGGTCAGGAAGGAGATGGTACTACAGAGGAAACAAAGAAGAGCAACCATGTCCTTAGAAAACTAGAGAAGCGTCTGCAGAGTCATAAGCTTGATCCCCACATTGAGGAGCAGTTTGGCAGCGGTAGGTTGTTGGCGTGCATTTCTTCTCGCCCTGGACAATGTGGTAGAGCTGATGGGTAAGTAGAAAGAAAGCAAAAATGCTATTTGATCCAACCACTTTTTTGGTTACTTGTCAATTTTCATTTCACTTTGATCTTTAAACTTTTGTTAACAGGTACATCTTGGAGGGAAAGGAGCTTGAGTTTTACATGAAGAAGATTCAGAGGAAGAAAGGCAAGGGTGCTGCTTAATTATTTTGTTTATTTCCTTGTCAGATTTAGATCACCCTCTGTAGTTTTTCTTTGTCTAGGAGCATGTGTTATTTGATTTGATCACTATTTGATACAATGTTCCCAAATTTTGCTAATTCTCTTTTATGCTATTAGAGAACCCTTCAGATGTCTCTATTTTCTTTTGGACGATGTCAGATGCCTCTATTTAAACTTGCGCAAGATTATTGCTTGAAATTGTAATGGTAGGGCATGTTATAGCAATCCTGTCCACTATTCGAGCATGGAAACCAGACGGAATGCGCCCTTGGTTTTTGCTGATTATCTGGTTCTGCTTCATGTTTTAATCCTCTATTTTTTATTTAGGCTCAGTTTGTAAGGAGTGCAAATACAAATATGTACAGTACAAATATATACAAAATACTGCACTCAATTTGTACTCCTTCCAAACTAAGCCTTACAGGTGCGCAAGTCGTCAATTAGAAATGCCTAGGTTAATCGGGATTTGTGACGTAGACAAACCTGTTTTTGGTTTTGTCACATGTATTTTTTTGGTTTTTGATTGGTCATAGCCCTTCCGGTAACATCTCTCCCATGTCATAGATCTTTAGTATACCAGTTGGTTGTTTGGGAATTTGTGGGGTAAAAATTATCTGCAACCAAGCATCACGATATCGTTAATGTGAAGTATATCGGAAAGGTAATGTATATATTTTGGATACACATACGAGCGAAATATTAAGATATGCGTAGATATTAATAAAATAAAATAATAATAATAAGGTATATATGATTTTTTTTCAGAATAGGTCAAAGGCCAAAATTTCATTCGTCAACCTACAAATGTTTGGAATGCATATAAATCAGAATTGATCAATTGAGCAATACAACGAGCATCTTTTGCAAGGCAATGAGCCTGAACCAAGACTGAATCAAAAGAAGGGAAGAGCCGCTTGCAGTATGATAAGCTTGTAGCATGATAAATAGGTGTATGAAAACCATGGAGGGGAGGAAGAATCTTCCCCAGAATTAAGTAGGCCTGTAAATGGTATCCGGAAATTCAATTCCAAATTCGACATTGGACTTAAACAAATCGAATTCGGATATTCAAATCAAATAAACAGTCGAATTCGAATTTAATTTTCATACTGAAAATAAGGATCGAATTCAATTTTCATACTGAAAATAAGGATCGAATTCAAATTTGACTTGATTCGACTCGATATATATCTGAACCGATTGTAATTACATATATTAATATATTATATAAATTTACATGCATAACCCCATTGTATCTATGTTTCTTTAAGAGTTTAAGGGTATAAAGGTAAAATCATTTTACCCTATACACATTCCAACAAATCTTCTCTCCCATTCAAAAATCTGCGCATCCTCCAACAAATCCCCTTCCCCATAAAATCAGCAAACTCTCCAAGAAATCCTCTTTACAAATCTTCTCTCCCATTCGAAAATCTAGCACATCCTCCAACAAATCCCCTTCCCCAAAAAATCAACAAACAAACTGAAAGTTCCTAACCCTCACCATTGCCTTGTTCTGTACTTCTCTTTTGTGTATTCTTTGAAGAGTCAAAATGGCAACTGGAGTTGAGAAATCTTGCCGCTGCAACATTATTTCACAAAGTTTAGTACTAATATCTTTGCATAGGCAAAATGGTGAATGAACAAGTTGGAGAAACCTCTTCTGTTGCAACATTCTTTACAAAGTTCAGTATTATTAACAGCTTTTCAGCAAAGATCGATGTCCACATTGAGGTCGATTTTGTCTAAGATGCGGTTGATGTTAACGACCTGGCATGGATGACGAGGAGCATTAGCGGCAATGGTAGATCAATCGACCAACTAAGGTCAGATTCCGACTTGTTCTTTTTGCTTTCTCTTCTATAAAGTTTCTAGTGTTTGTAGCTTTTATGATTTCTTCTTTTGCTTAATCTTTACTATGGGAATGATTGCCAAATTTAGGTTCAGATTTATCAAAATTGTAGCTACCATATTTTGATTCTAAGTAATATTTTTGTGTTTTAATTCACAAACAGAAATAGGTAGCTTGTTTTTAGGGTTTGGAACAACGAGATTTTGCTTCAAGTGCTTATCTTTTATTTATCCCCAATTTCTTTATTTTTATTAGAATTAGAATTTTGTGTTTTAAGACAAATCTAAACAGTTGAATTCGAATCGGTCGAATATTTGATTATTCACTCGAATTCAAATTCAGTTACTGATTTTAAGTATTTGACGGATATCTAATCGAATTCAAATATTTGTTTATGCAATCAAATTCGAATTCAAATATATCTTGATTCTCTTCAAATTCAATTCGTTTACACCTCTAAAGTTAAGACTAAGCCAACTTAAGGCTAGCAGCTAATATACCCAACGGGTGGGGGTATTAGTGGGATTATCTTCACTAACTGAGTCAATGCTAACATACATTTTATAATCTTTCAACATGGTTAGAGCAGATGCAATAATGGAAGATGGTTAGGTTGCTTAAAGTTAAACAACTTATTTCGTGCTTTCCAAAAATGCCACAACTTCTATTTCCTTAAAAAGTGAATAACAAATCGCTAGAGTTGGAAATTGAAATCAAATGATGCAACCATTCAAATAATGAACTAGTAACATTAGTAATGCTCTAGTGATTCCTCCATGTCAGTGCAAAGTGGGCATGAGGAATCCATTCGTTGACTTCTCCTAGCTACAGCTTCTCGAACAGGAAGCGATTTTGAAAGAAATCTCCACATGAATGATGGTAGCACTCGTAGGGGTAGAAGCTTGAATTACCATAATTTCTTCTGAGGTGTGTAGGCCACAATAGAAGAGCTTGATCCTGACTCCTTAATCGATGGAAATGGATCGGATAGGATTCAAATAAGGGTATATTCAAATTCAATTCGATACACTATAGATCTGATTCAAAGATCCCATCAGATCTTATAAATACTGATTTCAATTGGAATCTGATCAGGATGTCAGATATCTGAATATGATCCAATCCGATTTCATTAAAAAAATAAATTATTAAAAGAAAAAAAAATATAACAATTTAAATAAAAAAACAAAAAATACAAGTATTTTTCAACTATTTTTATCATATATATACACATTTTTTTATAAAAAATTATAAAAATACAATATAAATAACATTATATATATCCAATCTGATAGGGGGTTGATCCGAATTCAATCTGATCTGAAGATGCGAAATAAGCTCCAAACAAACTGATTTGGTGGTAAACTTGCCTCTTGGGGTAAGAATCCAATGGATGGCATCATCATCAATAGGAGAATATTTCTGTAATGGGATTTTCAAGATCTGATTAGTCACAAATGGATAAAAAAGTTTAGCAATTTTAACATGACCCCAAGTTCTATTATCAAACCTAATGAGAGAATTCACCATAATTGTAGTGGAAGAGTCCAATTGAGAGGTTGGCCTATAACTATGAATAGTGGGAATCTACGGATCGAAATAAGCATTCACACTAGATCCATCCCCAATCATCCAACAAATGCCTTGTGCAAGAATATGTCTACAATTCAATATCGATACATCTGGTTCAGAGAGGCCAGTTTAAGATCCGTCCACCCTTTTGAATCGGTCAAAACCCTGATACACCCTTTGTAGCGTATTGAGAAGCTCATGAGACAATACGTATCGGCTGATATGGACCGATACATGTCAATATTTTGAACTTTGTTTGAATCACTAGTAGTCAGCTTAACATCCCAAAAGTTTTTATGGACATATTTGACATGAAGAATGCACACACACAATCTATCTGATTGGGATAAAAAGTGTTAATGAATTTTAGCAATAAGAGCTTGGTTAACTAGAGAGAACTTTCAAATCCCAAGCATCTACAAGACTTGGGAAGCATACAATCTGTCCAAGCTTTTAGATACACTAGTAATTAAGCACGTGAGAATTTTTTTCTTCATATTAATTACTTGAATTTTAGATACATCATAGTTAAGATACAAATTGAAAATTAACAAATGTAACAATATGATAAAAACTAAATTTAAATGCTTGTTGTAAATATGTACGTGGATTGCATGTGAAAATTTTAAATTATAATAACACTTATCATCACCATCATCATCATCATCATTATTATTATTATTATTATTAATTGCACGTAGCAATGTCAAATAATAATAATAATAATAATAAAACTATATTTATGGGCCTTACTAATAATAATATATCATATATTCACAATACCTAGTTAAGTGTGGTCATTTTCTCTGTTAGTCAACAAAATGATAAATCATTTTCCTTGATTCCCCTTCCAAATAAGGATTGAAAGATAGCAATCAACACTGGAAAATTGTGTACATCAAATAAGAAAAATGCGGGCATCATATCACTTTAAGCCATATAAAACAGAGAAGGCAGTGACACTCTTTGTTGAATTAAAGTAAGAATTGGACAAGGGAAGAGATTCCAACACTATCTAAAGATTCATTATTTGGCCCTTAGATATGTAGATGAAAAATGCAGATTCCAACTTTGTAGATAGGTATGGTTTTTATTGCCAAGAATAAGTGGAGGTACAGTACATACCTGTTCATATCTAGAAATATGACTTGATAAGAAAAAACAAGAACTGAAGGTTGCTCTTGAAATGTGCAAGTACCTATTCATGTTTAATTATTTTTCTGTTTGGACAAATGAGATTGAAGCATAACCTAGGCTGTCCTTGCCTTGAAGTATAAAGAGATTTCCAACTTATCACCAGATGGATGCAGGATGTAAAGGATCCATGAACTCTTTGTTATATTATAAGGGAAGCTAGATTTTGGCTTATAGTGTAAACATCCCATTCATATGAGCAAAAAGATCAGAAAGATAGTGACTTTGTTTTGGTGTCTTGGTTATTCCAGTATGAGAGTTCTATGTGTATTCATTTCCCTCAAATGTCAATAGAACTCTCATAATTTGTAGCATAACCATTGTGTATGTAATAAAGAACTTGTAAGGCAAGCAATGTGAGGAATCGAGGGAAAAGAACATTCTACCCATACACACTTCATTTGACAAGGAGGGATAGTGAACCGACGAGATTAGTTTACTATATCCGAAAATATTAGATTATTTATTCCTCCGGCATGGAAGCGTCTTCTTTGAGGGTGAGGTTACATTTGAAGGCTACAAATAGGAAGCTTTC